CCCAATGTCCCCTCTTGGCAGAATTAAGAGTTCCCAGGGGGCCGTGTTCAATGGAGTGTGCCCACCTGACTGGGTGGCTGGGGCCATAGCGGGCTTGAGGGTGGGAGCTGTCTTAGAGCAGGAAGTGGCTGCCAGGCCCTGGGCTGACCCCTCCAACCCCCGATTTGGGGGTCCCCCACAGCCCTTATGTTCCTCCTGGGTATCCTGGACTTCCTCTTCGTCAGCCATGCCTATCACAGCATCCTGACCCGTGGGGCCTCTGTGCAGCTGGTGTTTGGCTTTGAGGTAAAACTGGCTTGGGAGGTTGGGAGGACAAGCCTGAGGTGGCATGTATCTTGAATAACCCAACAAACCCTTACTGAGCACTTGCTTTGTGGCCGGCCCCGTGCCCTCTGCACACTCGCTCCTAGGAGAGTGGGGAAGGCACAGAAAGAGGCACCTGTGGAGGAGCAGCCCTGACCTAGCGCTCAGGGAGGGCTTCCTGGAAGTTGATGCCAGAGGAGTTGGCTGTTGATGGACAGAAGGAATTAGCTTGATGGACAACTGGGGAGGTGTGTCCCTGGCAGGGCAAGAATGTGTTTATTGACGGCAGCTCACATTTATTGAGTGCTTACTATATGCCAGGCCCTGTGCTAAGCACTTAACCTGCATCTGTTTTAATCAGCAAGCCAACATTGTTATAAAGGAACAGTTAATCCTGTCATTTTACAGACAAGCAAACTGTGGTTGAGGGAGGTCGAGCGGGTTGCTGAGTCACACCAGCTATGACTAGGAGGAGCTAGGAGGACCCTGGCTGTGCCCATCTGCTCGTACCATTGCACCCTGCTGTGCAGAGGCCTGGGGGTAGCAGTGTGGCTGCAGCAAGGTGGGGGCTGCAGGCTCATGTCCCTCACCCTCCGCCCCAGTATGCCATCCTGATGACTATGGTGCTCACCATCTTCATCAAGTACGTGCTGCACTCCGTGGACCTACAGAGTGAAAACCCCTGGGACAATAAGGCTGTGTACATGCTCTACACAGAGCTGTTTACAGGTGAGAGGAGCCTGGGATCCCCTGGCCCGGACGAGGTCCCCAGTCCTGCCTCCCAGGCCCCGTGACCTGCCGCTCTCTGCACACTCTTCCCCAACAGGCTTCATCAAGGTTCTGCTGTACATGGCTTTCATGACCATCATGATCAAGGTGCACACCTTCCCTCTCTTTGCCATCCGGCCTATGTACCTGGCCATGAGGTGAGCCCAGCCCAGCCACATCCCTGACCCGTATCTGATCCCTTCCCTCTCTCCCCATTTTTCGCTGAAACTGTCCTTTCAGGCAGTTCAAGAAAGCTGTGACAGACGCCATCATGTCTCGCCGAGCTATCCGCAACATGAACACACTGTAAGTGGGCCTGTCCTAGATGCTCTCCCAAGCTCTGCTTCAGGTCTCCCTGCCTCGGGTTCTGGTCTTGACCTGTCTTTGGCCTGTCCTAACTAGGTACCCAGATGCCACCCCTGAGGAACTGCAGGCAATGGACAATGTCTGCATCATCTGTCGAGAAGAGATGGTGACTGGTGCCAAGAGACTGCCCTGCAACCACATTTTCCATACCAGGTGGGAGGAGCCCTGGGGAGCCTGCACACCAAGGGACAGGCACTGGGAGGCAGGCCCCCAGGGAGTCTGACCGAGGTGTCTTGACCTTCAGCTGCCTGCGCTCCTGGTTCCAGCGGCAGCAAACCTGCCCCACCTGCCGTATGGATGTCCTTCGTGCATCGCTGCCGACCCAGTCACCACCACCCCCTGAACCTGCGGACCAGGGACCACCACCTGCCCCCCATCCCCCACCGCTCCTGCCCCAGCCTCCCAATTGTGAGTGGCCCCCCCATCTGGCCATCTAACACACTGTTGAGTACTTGCCCCAGGCTGGGTATAAGAACTACTGAGGGGAATCAGAGCCCCTGCCTCTGGAAGCTCTGTCTGGGCGAGGAAGGGTTCTGGGAAGGGATGCAGATGGTTGCCGTCTTGTGTGATCGGCCTGAGCTCACAGAGAGCCTGTGAGCAGAGGACACAGCTTCCAACAACCAGCCTCTTGCCTGTGATTCGGATCTGTCTGAATTTGGACCTTTTGTCACCACCTCCTGTCTTTTCTCCGCAGTCCCCCAGGGCCTCCTGCCCCCCTTTCCTCCAGGCATGTTCCCGCTGTGGCCCCCCATGGGCCCCTTCCCACCAGTTCCACCTCCCCCCAGCTCAGGAGAGGCTGTGGCCCCTCCATCCACCAGTGCAGGTGAGCCTTTTGGGTCCTGCTGCAGCCAGCGGGGGAGGGAGGGATGGAAGCAGAGGCCCCTCAGCCCTCGCTGATTTCCTGTTCTCGCTCTTCAGCAGCCCTTTCTCGACCCAGTGGAGCAGCCACAACCACAGCTGCTGCTGCCGGCTCTGCCCCGGCACCTGGCTCTGCCTCCACCTCCGCCTCGGAGGCTGCCCCTGCCCCGGGCTTCCCCTTCCCCCCTCCCTGGATGGGCATGCCGCTACCTCCACCTTTCGGTAAACAGGCCACTCTTGGGGTTGTTCTGGAAGGCAGGGCTTGTCAGGCCCAGGCAGCCCGTGTTAAGCCTCTACCTCTCTCCAGCCTTCCCCCCGATGCCTGTGCCTCCAGCCGGCTTTGCCGGGCTGACCCCGGAGGAGCTGCAGGCTCTGGAAGGCCATGAACGGCAGCACCTGGAGGCTCGGCTGCAGAGCCTGCGCAACATCCATACGCTGCTGGACGCCGCCATGCTGCAGATCAATCAGTACCTCACTGTGCTGGCCTCCTTGGGGTAAGTCTGCACAGGGGATGGGGCGGGGTGGTGGGGGTGCTGCTGAGAGGAGGCCCTCCAGAGGTGGTTCGTGGCTTTTTTCCTCCTCTGCCATCCTGTGATACCTGTTGACTCGGGCCACCTATCTGCAAACCTCCAGGGTGTTTGGTGCCTTTTTACCCCCTCACTGAGAAAGCTTGTCTGCATCTAAGCAGGAGTGAGGATTATTAGAGCTGACTCTGAATCTTGTTACTTTAGAAAGTTTTTTTCCTATAGTTAAATCTTATATTCATAATTCTCACTGGTTTAGTTTATCATGCATTCTCCTGACATATGGTGACACTGTGACTGGGAATGAGTGCCCCTGATCTGAGACAGCAAACAGTCACTTGGAGCCAGCCTGGCTCCAAGTTCAAGTCCTGGTCACATGCTTTGTGACCATCATCACCTTATTTGAATAGAGGGGATTCTCATTCCTATTCACAGGCCATGTGTACTAAGTACATGGCACCCCACAGTGACAGCACAGGTGTGGAGGGGAGCTAGAGTCCGAGACCTGAGCGCTCTGTGTTTCATTCAGTAGAATGTCTTAGTGGGTAACTTATAAGATCCCTGGCACCCTGGGGTGGAGACTCTGCAGTGACCAGACCTAAAGTCCCTGCCTGCAGGTGGTTTACAGTCTGTGCTGATTTACAGAACCACAGCAGTTCCATACGACACATGTTCATTTATACCCACTGGTCCCTGGGGGCTGTGGGGGCACATCAGTGCCGGACTCTACCTCGCAAGCCAACCAAGGGCAGGAGAACCCGCCTAGTCTGCCAGGATGCCAAAGCCGGGCCCGCCTCTTGTCCCTTCTCTTCCTAGGCCCCCCCGGCCTGCCACCTCAGTCAACCCCACTGAGGAGACTGCCCCTACAGTTGTCGCTGCTGCCTCCTCCACCAGCATCCCCAGCTCTCAGGCCACCACCCCATCCCCAGGAGCCTCCCCACCAGCCCCTGAACCTGAAAAGCCTCCAGGTAGTTGTGGTCAGCCTAAAGGGGGATGGGGCAGGGGGCTTGTCTGGGTGCCACTTCCAACCTCTCCGTCCCCAGCTCCCGAGTCAGTGGGCACCGAGGAGCCGCCTGAGGACGGAGAGCCCGATGCAGCAGAGCTCCGCCGCCGCCGCCTGCAAAAGTTGGAATCCCCTGTTGCCCACTGACATTGCCCCCGTCCTGGCCCCTGCCCCGACTCTTGAGCAGCCCTTGCTGGAACATGTCCTGCCACCAAGTGCCAGCTCCCTATCCGTACCAGGGAGTCGTAACACCCAACTCTGAGACAGGAGGTGGCATCCCCTAGGCCAAGGAGAGAAGCCTGAGGTCCCAGGTGACTGCAGCCCTTATAGTTCTGGGCAGCCTGGAGATCTTGGGCCAGTTCTGGCCTCCTTCCCCAACGCGTTGGCCCTGTGTTCTACCGGGGCTGTGAAGGCAGAACGGCGAGGCCTGAGAAGCCCTCTGCCCCACCCACTCCCGGGAGCCCACTTGTGTGAGTGGAGTCACGCTGCAGTGCCGAACAGTATTAGCTCCCATTCCCGAGTGTGGACTCCAGGGGCCAGGGACAGGCCAAGAACCTGTTCCCTGGCCCACCTACCAAGACTGGTACTGATGTCTTCTTACCCTAAACTCCCCGGAAGCCCTTGGTGGTAGTGGCTGTGTCCTTTATGCCCTATGACATTTCCATGCAACCACACAACTCAGGGAAAGGAGTGCCTGGGGCAGAGGAGCAGGAGGGCAGCACGGAGGGACCCGGCCCTGCCCCTCCCCCCAGACCCCTCTCTCCCCGCAGTTTGTCTAAAGTGAGACCGTCCCTGGTCTCACCCAGCAGCCACTGCCCAGCCTCCCTCCAGGCCGAGGGCTTGTGTCTGTTCTGGAACCACTGCAAGCCCCAGAATCTACGGAAGGCCACTTCTCAACTTACAGAACTTTTCTTGAGTTTAGAAGACTTGGAGTTACTTCCTTGCTGTTATCTTTTGGCTTAAATTTTGTCTTTGAATTTGAAAGCTTGACCCCAGGAAAGAGGATCAGGAGTGCAAGGCTCCTGGTCTTTCCAGTTTAGAAAAGGCTCTGGGGTAGGTAGGGAACACGAGCCGAAGCCTGCCTGTCCCTGTCTTTTCCCCCTCGGTTTTGCGTTACATGAGTTGCTGGAGAGTTTCAGATGATTATTTAATTTGTAAATATTGTACAAATTTTAATAGCTTAAATTGTATATACAGCCTAATAAAAACTTGCATTAATGATGGGTGGAGCTGGTGTCATAGGATCAGTGGCCAGACTCCTTTTTCTTGCTCAGGCTTTAGACTTGAGAATTGGCTCCAGGAGTATTTATACAAGCCAGCACTGTCCTTGGCCACATTGTCATTAAGCTATTAGGAAGAAATACCCATATTACATATGAAGAAACTGAGCCCCCCAAAAGTTAAGTACCTTGCTTTAGGTCAGAGACCAAGTAAGAGAGCCAGGCTCTGAATCCTGACTTAGCCAGTCCAGTGCTGGGGTGGGGCTGGGAACTCAGGCCTTTTGGTCCTTGTGATGGATGGGACAAGTGTAAAAGTTCACTAGCTGGCGGGGGGGATGAAATGGCAAGGGCAAAAGACCAGCATCTTCCTGCTTGCAAACCCGATGTCCAGTGGATACCAGGTCTGCAACCTGGGAAGAATGGCCCTATGCTGGGCTGCTAGGGGCTCCCAAGCATCCTCTTGTGGGCAGACCAGCTAAAGCTAATCGCCTAGCTTCCTGGAGATAGAAACCCAGATAGGCCCAACTCTGGTCTGGAGTGAAGCAGAGGGGACTGGGCCTTCTACCTCTCCATAGGTAGAATGAGCCCCGAGGCCAATGTGAGCATCCCTGCGCCCCTGTGCCCAGCACTGCACTTGGAACTGAACACTTCCAGAACGCACGTCTGGGTTATCTGTATTCTCCGTAGCCTCCACCACGCCAGGTCTGGCCTAGAGCAAGGGCTTGGGAATGTTTGTAGCAGTGAAGATCTGAGGGCCAAGGATGGAGTATGCCCTGTCCTGTGCTATGCTCCCCTGAAGTGGCTGAGCTATTGCTTCCACCAGAGGGGCAGTTAACAACCTCCAGAATTTGAATAAGTGAGCCCAAGGAGCTCCAATGAAGGGAAAGCAGGAACAGATCAAAGTCGGGGGCAAGGGGGTACAGCTAATGACGCCCACTAGCTCAGCTGTTTCTGGTTAGCTAGCCTTCTCCCAGAGCTGGCACCTGTGTAGAGGGTCCCATTTCCCCCTTTATGCAAACAAGCCTGCTCTGAAGCCCGTCAGCCCTCTACCCTGCCCAAGCTCTCAGCCCTAGTTTCTGTACCCCGATCCTGGTTGCTCCAACACCAATCTCCCTCGAGATCCCCTGGAATCCAGTCTGTGGGGGACGCTGTCATGCAGGCTGCTCAGCTGGGCCTCAGAAGCCCTTCTCTAGGAGCCAGGCTTTGAGCTGCTGGTCAAAGTAGCCCTTGACCCGCAGGGTACCTGTCACCTCATTGACCTGGGTGATAGGTGCCTTCCCCAGCAGGGGGCTCAGAAAATCTTCCACATCCTTTTGCAGGGCCTGGGAAAAGATGACAAACCAGGCCTGGTCAGGAGACCTTCCCCTCTAGAGGACTCTCATCTCTTCAGCCCTGAAAGGATCACAATCAGACCCTGACCCACCCACCAACTTACCCAAATGTCCCCCTCAACCTTCCGGATCACAGTCATCTGGCGGTTGCCATGTGTGATGTCCTTGTAGACAGGGATGTTGTGCATCCGAGAGCGCCGCACAAAGTAGGGCAGGTCGGGTGGGGTACCTGGAACAGAGGAATGGTGATGGGCCAAGTCTTTCCAGGCTTCATCCCACTTCGGCAGAGGCCTTTCCCCTCAGCGTCTGCAGATGATCAGTGCACCTGATGGCAAAGCCACTTCTAGACTTCAGG